CACCCGCACGACCGCTCTCCCCACCCCCACCTCCACCCCTCCCTGCCCCTGCTAGGTGCGTGAGGCCCAGCTGGCGCAGTACAACTACATCCTGGTGGTCGGGGAGAAGGAGCAGGCGGAGCAGCTCGTCAACGTGAGAGGGCCTGGAGTGTGTGTGGGGGGGAGGAGAGAGAGAAAGAGAGAGAGAGAGAGAGGGGGAGAGAGGGAGAGAGAGTGTGTGTGTGCGCGCGCGTGTGCCTGTGCGTGTGCTTGATTGTGAGTGTGGGTGTGCGTGTGGGTGTGGGGGCAATCGACGGTGCAGAGGGAGGAGAGTTGGGAAGGTGCGCCTTTGGACGGCCAGGGGGCTTGTCCCTGCGTGAGGGCTTCCTGCAGCCTGGCAGCTGGGGCCATGGGCTTGCCGCACTGGTTTGGGGGACAGGCGGCCTCCTGTAGCCTCTTGCCCGACTTGTGTACTGCCGAGGAGTGGAAATCTCTTTGCGTTGCTACACGCTTGCTCGTAGTTGTCAGCCCCTTGCTGTGACAATTTTCGTGCTATTTCTAGAATTTGCACTCCAACCGCGCCCCAGTGCACTTGTCTCCCCCCGGGAACATGCACCCACACGCCCTCTCTTACTGGCCCCCATCACCCGCCCCGCACTCCGCCCCGTCCGACAGGTGCGCACGCGCGACAACGTCGTCCACGGCATGTTTGGCGTTGACGACGTGGTGGCCATCATCCGGGAAGAGAAGGAGGCGCGGGGCCTCGAGTCCATCTTCAGCAGCAAGGCGGAGCTGCGCAGGGGCAGCGGCGCGGATGACGGCGCGGCGGAAGCCAACTAGAGGGCGCGGCGCCCCGCGCGGGGCGGTCTGCTTGCCGCGGCGGCCGGAGGTCGTTTTTGGAAGCCCTTGGGGCTGATTCCCTCATCCCAGGCAGGGTCCCTCTCTCATTTGCTGAACTTTGGGGCTCTGGAACTGGCCCGCACTGCTGTCGACCCTGAACATGTAATTAGTGAGCAGCACAAACCTTTGATGCAGTGATTACAAGACACAACCACCTCGCCTGGGGCCTGAGTCGGTCAAACGTTCAAGTGGCGAGAGACGTCACCAGGCCGTGGAAGCCCGCGCAGCAGGCAGGGAGGTCACAGCGGCCGGGGAATCGTGCACAGCCCCCCAGACACTCGTGGAGCGAGGCAGCCCCCTGCTAAGCCCGCTGCGCGGGGCCCCTGCCCGCGACTCAGTTTGGCCAAGCGTGACAAGGCCAGGTGCCTCTGGACTTCACAGCGTGAGGCTCTGGACTTCACAGCATGAACGCGAGGTCGTTGTTGCGCAGGCCGTCCCCCGAGTAGAACCCGCCCCAGGTGAGGCCCCTGTTGTCGTAGTAGAAGAAGTAGCCGGGGTACAGCAGGCTGGGGGGCGGGGGACGACAGCGGGAGGACGGTGAGAGGCAAAAAGTGGTGATTCAATGAGGGCATTATGCCAGGTGATGAAGGGCGACTGAAGCATGTTGTTTGTGAGCAGCAGGCGTGGCAGATGAGGATGCCAGCACAACGGCGGCCCCCCCGCGCCTCAGCTGCCGCTGAAGGCAGGGGGCGCCTGAACCGCGACGGCAGCGGGCTCCCTCGGACCCACCTGCGCAGCAGCGTGACCCCCTTGAACGCGTCGGCCGCAACGGACCAGCCGCCCCGCACGTCCTGCGCCAGCGACGCGTCCGGCTGCAGCGCCTGGGACCTGGGAAATGGGCGCCGGTGCAGTGTTGACGAGTTAGATAATGCGTGCTCAACATGCGTCCGACGGCGCCGAGCCTGCTGGGCGACTCAATCAAGCGTCCGCTGTTGGCATGGGTGGGTGCCTCGCGCGCGTCAATCTGGTCAGCGCGCCACTCGCCTGTGCTGGAACGACTCCAGCTTGCCCGGGTGCTCCAGGCCGCTGAACAGCTTGTTGGTCACCAGCTGGTTGTGGGCGTTGGCCACGCAGCAGCCCTGCGCGGCGGGCCACCCAGCAAGAGTCGGGCCCGGGCCGGGCGTGGGCGGTGCGCAAGCATATGCACGTCAGCTGTCCAGGCCATGCCCTGACAACACTCCACCTGGCACCCCGGCTGCGCCCGCTGCCACCGGGCTGCCCCTCAACAAGGAGCCAAGGCAACCTGTATCGTCTGCATGGGCACGACGCGCCATTTGCACGCCCGCTTCCAGCACCCCACGCCCCTCATGCCATCCCCTCCTCCTGCAGCACGCACCACGGGCTGCACAGCCGCCAGCTCGTTGATCGCGTCCACCATGCCGCGCAGCCGCTGCGCCTCCGTCACGGCGACCCTCGGGCCCGCGGCCCCCTCGCCGCCCCCCGCGTCGTCCGCGGCCGCGGCAGGGTCGGCCTGTGGCGTGGCAGGCAGGGTGCGCGACGGGACGGTTTGTACCTGATAGGGCAGAGGTTGTCTGCAGTGCAGGCACAGGCAAGCGCGCTTGCTGTCTCTCTGACTGGGCAGCAACCTCGCTGATCTGCACCTGTGCTCGAGCGAAGCGGCACTCAGGCGTGGCACCCCACCTCTGCGGCGTTGTGCTGGAATGCGGGGTCCCCCGTGAGCATGGTGCGGATGCGCACCGCGCGCGCCGCGGCCTCGGGCTCAAGACGCGGCAGGTCGGCCCACCTGAGCAGATAGGGGCCGGGCAAGCGGAGCGACATAGGTTGGGTGAAAAGGCGTACGTGCCGATGGAAACACAGAGCTTGCTGCACCAACAGATGCAGATCTCATCAACTTATTCAAGCCTGGCAAGTGCGCTGGGGGGCTGTGGGTCGTGCTCACTTGATCCCGTCCTGGCTGAAGAAAATCTTGGGCTCAAACGTGACCTGGGTGCCGTACACGCGCGCCGTGTCGCAGCCGCCCTCCGCGATCAAGTAGTCCTGAGGATATGGGCGTGTGTGCGTTTTAACGTGCTTGTGCAGGTGCTGCTTGGATGCCAGCACTGCGGATGGCAGCGCCGCTCGCAGGCCCCGCGCGGCGATGGGCAGCCAGTCCGAGTGACGCTATGGGGGCACCATGCGGCTTTCGCGCGGCCGCGGGCGCCACGTTGTCGCGGGCCGCACCTTGCCGCTGCGGGTTGTGATGCGACCCCAGACATTCAAGCTCCTCACGCCCGCCTCGGCCCGCTTGATCGGGAGCGAGTGGTCGAGCGCCGCCTGCGCGCGCAAGAGCGCGCGGCAGCGTCTCGGCGCGCACAGCGTTTTTGCAGTGGTGACGTGTCGGCTCGCGCTACTGCGCCTCATCCTGCAACAGTATCTGGTGTGAACCAATCATCTAGCCTGACTTCAGGTTCATGGCTGCCCATGTTGCTCACCACGGCCTCGCATGACAGCACTGCGCCACAGCGTGCGACATGCTTCAGCGTCAGCAGCAAGTTGGGCTCCGTCTGCACCATGGCACCTGCGAGCCGCTAAGTCCTTAACCTTCTACTCTTGTCTTCCTTCCACGGCTGCTCGTCGAAGCTCGCACGTCCAGCGAATAGCACGCGGGTTTGACCAATTGACCCCGTTGCTTGTGCGACACTATGCTGATGTTATATGGCTGCAGACACCATACAAGAGCTTCTGCATCACCTTCCGACGCTTGAACCTCTCCAGACAGAGAATGATCTTACCGTAATGCCAGGGGCGCCGGTATCATATGATCAAACCGCTTGATTTTTGATCATATCAGAACAACACGCACTTTGCATGACAGTGTACCAGCGGGCATCTTGCTTTCGAGATCATATAACTTGTATTGAAAACAACGTTGTTGGCCACTTCACATGACAATGAATGTCCTGCGACCGCTGCAAAGCGCCGTTGGCGCCCAACGAGCCGTGTCAAGCGCGGCGTCCGTGTCAAGCCCGGCCAGCGGCAGTGCTCTCTCACTCGCAGACCTCGCCGCTGCTAGCGTTGCTGCAGCTCCGCGCATCCGCCCCTACGTGCGCCGCACGCCGCTCGAGGACTCCCCTTGGCTGTCCGGGGCCGGCAACTGCCGCGCATGGCTCAAGCTCGAGAGCGAGCAGGTGACCGGCAGCTTCAAGGCCCGGGGCGCTGTCAACAAGCTGCTGTCGCTCTCGAAAGCACAGCTAGCCACTGGCCTCGTCACCTGCTCCACCGGCAACCACGCGCTCGCCTTCGTGCACGCCGCGCGCGCCGCGGGCGGGCCGGGCGTGCTGGAGCGCGCCCTGGTGTACCTTCCGAAAACGGCCAGCCCTGTCAAAGTGGACAAGCTGCGCGCCAGGGGCGCTGAGCTGGCGCTTCATGGTGACGACTGCCTGGACGCTGAGCTGGAGGCGCAGCGGGTGGCGGTTGAGAGGGGCCTAGTATACGTGTCGCCCTACAATGATTACGAGGTGAGGGCAGTAACGCATTTTGATGGATGGATGCTGTGCCGGTGTGAGACAGGAGGGGCATGGGAGAGGTGTGGCTCAAAAGAGGTGTGGCGGTTGCAGCCCCTTGCAGGGGCGCCGCGGCGCAGCCGAGACAGGCTCTGTGTGCACATGTGTGCACGCATGCACGGCAGGGGACAGCGGCAAGTATCAGAGCGCCGCGGCTCCCACCATCAATTGGGCTGCCGCCCTGGAAGCATAATTGTTCGCGGCTCTTCTTCCTTTGATGCTGCACAAATGTGCACATCACGAACTCCCAATACACCACGGTGCAGATCATGGCTGGCCAGGGCACTGTGTCAGTTGAGATATTGGAGCAGCTGCAGGAGGAGGAACAGCGGAGAGCCGCAGACATTAAGCAGCTACCGGCAGATGAAAATGCAGCGGAGCTGGTGGTGTATGTGCCTGTAGGGGGCGGCGGCCTCATTGGCGGCATGGCAGCGGTGCGTGGTTGTGACTAACCAATGCCTGGGGGTAGGAATCAGGTGTGTGATTCGCTGGCACCATCACGCAGGCCAGGGAGGGTGACTGATTTGAGCCAGCGGCCGTCACACAGGTGGTGCTGCTTTCCGCCAAAGACACGCGGTGGCCGTGGCCAGTGCGCCGCTCTCGACGATCAGTGCATCTTACGCTGCCTCGCGTCTTTGACCCCACAGGTCCTGAAGACTGCCCTGGGCGCGCGGGTCAGGGTGGTCGGCTGCCAGCCGGCTGCGTCCGACGTGATGCGGCAGAGCGTCGCGGCCGGCCGCATCGTGGAGGCGGCCAGCGGCGACACGCTGTCAGACGCGACGGCTGGGGGCGTGGAGGAGGGGGCGGTCACGCTGGGTCCTTGCATCGACGGAGTAGACGAGTGGTGCGTACCGGCGCGTCACTCGTCGGCGGGGGCGTTTGAGTCCCGGGGAGGGCCGCAGTGGGGTCCAGCTTTGTGGTCCAGGCAGCTGCGACCGCCAGATCGCTGTCGACTTGTCGCGCCAAGCGTACTTCGTGGTGCTGCAGCTGCTTACATGCCTTCAACGCCCGCCAGCCCACATTGTCACCCACCCCACCCTTTTCATATGTTGTATCCTACTCCTCCTCCTCACCCCCATCTCAGCCACTTCCTCCCCCTCCTCATCTCTGGCATTGCCCCCCACTGCCTGCAGGGTGTGCGTTTCAGAGCAGGAGATCGCGGACGCCGTGCTGAGCGTTCTGCGCGCCCACTCAAAGCTTGTCGAGGGCGCTGCCGGCTGCGCCGTCGCCGCGTTCTGGCGGCAGCGGCGCCAGCTGGCGGGCAAGCGGGCCGTGGTGCTGTGCTGCGGCGGCAACATATCGGTGGAGGCCCTCAAGACGGTGCTTGAGCGGGGCCGTGTGCTGTCTGCAGACGCTGAAGTTGACCGGGCAGCAGAGGAACAGTCCGTGAATGGGTAACCGGGCGGTCTGACTTGAGCTCCGCACGCCTGGATTACGATATTGTCCAGCTCAGGGAGTTGGCAGCAGAGCCGTTGGTAGTTCAAAGTCATTGCGGTGGCCTGCAGAGACACTTTAAACAGCAGACAGGCCGCCAACAGCAACAGAAGCAGGTCGGTAGGACATAGGTGAGCGTACCCTGGTGAGGTTCAACACAAGCACCAAGGTGGGGCACTATGCATGGCGGGTGCAACTGCCTTTGCGGGCGGAGGAAGAACATGTGCGCACAGCAGGCTTGCAATTTCTGGCCACAATGGCATTATGTCTACAAGGTTGTAGATTGTCTGTGCCACCACAGTCGCTGCGGGTGCTGCCACACCGTCACTGTCGTTGCTGCCACGGGTCAGTCAATCGAGAGCGCAGACTAAAGCGTGGTGGCATACAATTGCATCAAAGAAGGGTTACACAACGCAGGGATTGAACCATTGCAAGCACCCCTGCACCGTCCTCTGCTACTCATGCCCAACCGCCAGGCGCTGTTGCTGAGGTTCTGCGTGTTCTGACAGCTGCTGTGCTGCCGCCGCATGCCGCGCGGCGGCGAGCGTCTCCTGCAGCTGCAGCCCGAGCCCATGCTGCTGTGAGGCGCGAACCAGGGCTGCCACGATGGCAGGCAGCGCGGCCCTGATGCTGTCTTCGCTGCTGTCGCCGCTGCTGCTGGTGCTGCTGCTGGTGCTGCTGCTGGTGCTGCTGCTGTCGCTGTCACTGAGGGTGCTGCTGCTCTTGCTCCTCTCGCTGCTGATGCTGGTGCTGTCGCTGATGCTGCTGTTGGCTCCATTGACGCCGCTGCTGTCAAGAGCAGCACCGCTATCTTGTTCGCCTGCAGCGGCCGCGCAGCGGCGTGCCACCCCATCCAGCGCCGCAGCCACCTCCTCAGTCGCCACCACGCCGCTCGGCAGCGCGGCAAACGCTCGCGCCGTATGTACGAGGTCCCGCGCCCCCATCCGCGCCGCTCGCCGCCGGCAGGCCGCCGCGACCGCGCGCCACGCGGCGGCGTCGTGCGCGCCGGCCGTCGCGAGCGCCCACGCTGTGACTGAGAGCGCGTGGTCGTGCATATCGCCCGCGCGGCGGGCCACGACGCTGCAGAGCTGCAATGTCAGATCAGGGTGGGGCACCTGGGGAGGCGACGCGAGCAGCCGCCCACCGATCAGCTTGAGGGCAGTGCTGCTGGAAACGAGCAGACCAGGACGCCTCAGCCACAGGGGGCCGCGGCGCGCCCAGTCACAGCAATCCAGTGCTGTCGCTACCCTACAGCGCGATCACCCGCGTCCCCCCTCCCGCACGACGCCACCCCCACCTCGAGCGTAGCAAACGCCCACGCCAGGTTGGCCACATCCACATCCTTCAGTCGCCCCGCGGAAGCCATCGCCGCCCCCTCGTCCCCCAGCGCGCGCAGCACGCCCTCGTCCCGCAGCCCCAGCCGCGCCAGCGCCCACGCTGACGTGGCGACCTCGGCCGCGCTGAGCAGGCCTGTCTGGGCCAGCGCGGCCGCGGCCGCGCCGAGGGCGGAGAGGGTGGGCGCGTCAAAGTGCCGCAGCGCCGCGCACGCCCAGAGCGCCTGGCCGACGTCCGGGCCGCTGGCGGCGCCCAGGCGCTGCAGCATGGCGCGGCAGAGCGCGGCGAACATGGGGCCGCCGGCGCCGGGCGGCGGGGCCACAGGCGCGCCCGCGGCGGGGCCCGCTGCGGCGCCGGCACTGACAGCGACACCAGCAGGCTCCAAGCCTTCAATGGGATGGCTGGGTAGATCCTTGTCCATTTGCTGCTGCTGCTGGTCGTGACCCAACGCCTGCCGCTCTTGCCGCGCCCGCGCGTGCTGCTCCAGCCTGGCCAGCGCCCACATCATGTTGGACACCTCCGCCGCGCCGCACTCCCCCGGCCGCCGCAGCGCCGCTGCCGCCAGCCGCTCGGCTGGGCCCTCATCCGCTCCCATCTCCCCCAAAACGCCCCCGGCCCCGCCGCCGCCGTTGCTGCCGTGCGCTGCCAGCAACCCTGTGTCGACCCCGAGGGTGGCGAGGGCCCAAAGTAGAGAGGCTGCCTCCTGTGCGCGCGCCTCATACAGCAGCGGCTTCTCGCAGACCGCGCCCACCGCCGCGCGCAGCAGCGGGCCGTCCGCCACACCGAGCGCCGCGTGCGCCCACACTATGTTTGACAGCCCCTGCGTCGTGAACACGGGGCCGCCGTCCGCGCCTGCGACCGCGCGTTGCGGTAGCCGCGCGCGACGCGCGCGGGGCCCGCCGCCGCCGGCCCTGCCGCCGCCACCCTGCACAGCTTGGCCGTCCTTGTACTCTCGGCCGCTGCTGCCGCCGGCCGCCGACTGCCGCGCGCCCTCCGCGCCAGCGCCAGGCTCCCCCGCGTCGCCCTCCAGCGCGGCGGCCGCGCCCTCGCCGCCGGCGCCGCCGCCGCCGCCGCCGAGCGCCGCGACCACCCTCGCGCTTATGCCGGCCATCAGCGCGTCGTCCCTGCGCCCCGCCTTTGCAAAGGCCCACGCCAGCATCGCCAGGTCCTCCCCCCGCGCCTCCCCCAGCCTGGGCCGCGCCGCCGCCGCCAGCGCCCCGAGCAGCTTCCCGTCACCGCCGCGCCCCAGCCGCACGAGGCCCCACGCGAGGGCCGCCAGCTGCGAGCAGTCTGCATCCCACACCTTGCCCCAGCCGACGAGCTCCTGGGTGATGCCGTCGAGAAGCTCTGCAGGCGGCCGCACCCCCAGCCGCGCGTACGCCCACACCGCCACCGCCAGCTCGCGCGGCGCGCACGCGCCGAGCGCGGCGCGCAGCGGCGCCGCCAGGTCGGCGGCGACCGCGCGCAGCTGCTGCGCGGCCAGGTCCGGCGGCTGCGCCCGCGCCGCGCCGCCGCGGCTGCCCTCGATGCCGCGC